TAAAGCGGGAATGAGGATTTTGACTGAAAAAAGTTGGAAGCAATCAACAATTTCATTGTGATAAATAGCTGATATGTAGAAATGAGAACCACTGGGAACAAAACCTTTTTGCAGGAACCACAATCCTAAAGGCCGTAAAGAAAACAGTCGACCCTTCCACTCGAGTCGTCTTCAAGAAAAACCCCACCAAAGACTACGTGAGGTCGAACAATTTCTCTTATGCAATTGTAGTCGTGGGCGAAGTCCCGTACGCCGAGATGTTTGGAGACAGCAAGAACCTAAGCATAGCCGAACCAGGGCCAAGCACAATCAAGAATGTCTGTGGGGCCCTCAGATGTGTAGTTGTCATAATATCTGGGCGCCCACTCACAGTCGAGCCCTACCTTGCCCAGATAGATGCACTCGTGGCTGCATGGCTTCCAGGGACAGAAGGCCAAGGAGTAGCCGATGTCCTATTTGGGGACTACGGTTTCACGGGAAAACTCGCCAGGACTTGGTTTAAGTCGGTCGAGCAGCTTCCCATGAACGTAGGGGACCCACATTATGATCCCCTTTTCCCGTTTGGGTTTGGCCTGACAAGTGACAACTGAAGCTAGCAGTGGGAGATGAAAATGTAGCAGTCAGCAGTGTTTATTTAGTGGTTTCGAGTGCTTTCTTGCCGTAAACTATTACAGCACTCAGGCACTAGAGTTTGCTATAACTAATAATTATATTTCATATAGAATAAATGATTTTGTACATGCAAGGAAGAAATAAATTTGTAAGAGTGCTCTTAGTAAGTTATTTTCCTACTATCAAGCACATTGTGCTCAACGCGAACCTAAATGCTAAATATAACAGTTGTTATACGACTCAATTTCGAATAAGCAGGTTCTCAAAACTTTACAAAATGAGAAGGTATAGAAACATGGTCTGTGATTTTTAGCCACGCCAGTTGTTCTATACTATAATTTGGTGTCACGAAAACGAAAACCCTGCCGCCTCACATAACATCAAGTTAGCATCTTGATTATTTTAACCAATGTATCACAAATTTCCTGAAATCTCTTAAACAAATTTTTAACTTAAGCAATCATCCTAAAAAACTCATTTCTAGACAGCTTCTAGTCCCATTAATCACAACCTTTGAAAAAACAGAATATACTGCCACCAACACAAAAGAAGACGAAAGAAAAACAGTTCAATAAAACCGAGAAAAAACTCGGCACATTCTTCACAAGCACTGAAATAAGTTACTCCAAAGATTCTGAGAAAAATAAAAATCTGACTAATGCCACAGGATGCAAATCACAAATTTGCGCCTTACTACTCTTTTTGTCCTTCCAATAAGCAGCAGTTCAAAGGAAACATAACTACAAGATGACAATCAATAACATAAAAGCAGAATCACCTCAGTAATAGCCAACTCCCGAGACATCAGCCCTGGAAGTCTGCTCCGAACCACCTCCATTTCCCAGGAACACAACCCGCCCATTCCTCCGGACTGCCACCTCTCGAATCCGCCGGACGAGGCCCGTGATAGGGTCGTTGAAGACCTTTGACTCCAGATTCCCTTCCACGTACAGGATCGAGCCAGGGACGAAATTCTTGGCGGCGAGGTCACCCAGCTTCTCCGGGTAGACGGAAACCCGATGCCACTGCACATTACAGCGGTTGGCGTACTCCCTCGGGTCCTCGTTATCCAGCGGCCGCCGGTTGTTCCGAATGCCTCCGGTTCCCAAGGACAGCAGCGTGACCGTTCTGCCGCTCCTGAGTTTCTTCTGGATAGGCGCCTGCCCTAGCTGCCCAACCAATATTGCCTTGTAGATGCCGATGTCGAGGCCGTCCTCGAGCGTCCGTTCGAAGACGGGAGGTTTTTGGTCTGGAGGGGACTGATCGGGGGTGAGTGTGGCGGGTTCCGAGTCGGACTCGGAGTGTGAATCGTTTTCTGCGGAAAATAGGGTTCTGGTGCAGGAAGGAAGTGAATTCAGCTTCGTTACTGAGGTATTTCGTCCGTATCTGGAGAATATCGCGCCGGAGAGTTTTCTAGAGATAGAAGACGCCATGGATTTACTGTGGGAAGTTTTAAAACCCTAGTGAGAGGTTTTGTGCTTTTGCTACTGGTTACTGTATCAGACTTGGGAGTTGGGACTTGGGAGTATATANTAGTTATCTGTGACATTTTAAACTTATATTAAAATATTATTAAAAATAAAATAATTAAGTTGATTTGATATAAAAGTAGAAAACAAATAATGTGAAATGATGGGTAGTTAAAATTATGTGAGTAGAGGCTAATGAATTAAAATTGATGTAATGTACAAAATTAATTGTTTGGTATTATTTATTTACTAGTAATCAAGTATGTGCAGATGTACAAATACAAATAAAATACTATATGACATAAAATACATAACGTACTTAAAGAATAAGACCATCTCCAGCCCTTAACTCTACTCTAGCGTGGATTTTACTCTACTCTAGAGTAGAGTTAAACCTTCGTCTCCAACCCTTATCTCTACATTTTACTCTATATCAAATATATTATTTTTTTTATTCATTTTTTATTTCAAATAAATTAGTATATATATGTATATTTCATCTTATATAAATGTTTATTACCCAAATAATAAAAATATATTTAGTATAAAAAATACCTCACACAAAGTTGTAATACGTAAATAAAAAAAATACAAAATTATTTAGCATAATAAATACATTACACAAAGTTATAAATTATTCAACATAAAAAATACATTACACAAAGTTATAAATTAGTTAGCATAAAAAATACATTACACAAAGTTATTTAGCATAAAAAATACATTTCCTAATACACATTATACATAAATTTATCATTAATATTACATTACAAAAAAATAAAAAAAATAAAAAAAAAAAAAATTGTAGAGATGCTAAATCTCTAAAGTAACGCAAATATCTAGTGCAGGGTTGGAGTGCATTTTAGCACTACAATAGCGCAAAAAGAGAGAGATAGAGCAGCGCTGGGCTTGCTCTAAATAGATCTAAACTAATTAGTTGGTTTTTTTTTATTCCCAAAACGATAGATAGTATTATAAATCAAAATGCACAAATGTGCGAATACACAGCAGCCAACGGCTGAATATACAGCAGCCAACAACTGAAAAAGTGGGAGGACAGGTCAGAAGACTGCCTAAAATTCCGGCTAGCGACGCTAGAATAAAAACACTCGCAACTAAACTAACCAACAACACAAACCACTAAAACAACTAAAAAGACCCCAACAGGGTAAGACCCGAGTGTCGGATCCGAACAGGATAATAAGTTGACACTCGGGCTCACAGAGGCCAACGGCCCAAACAAAAAACACACATCCAAATCAACACAAGCACAATGCAAAGAGAAAAATTAAGACACCCTAATCCATCAACAAACGAACAAAGCCCTTCCCCAGCGGGCTAACCAATCCCAACACAAGACGCCAGCGAACTAAAGACAATCATCCACATCATAACCCGAGATCCAAAACGCAGCTCCCGCCACTGCCTAATGCCTAGCAAAGGACGAGTCCCGAACCCCGAACCACTCCAAGGATGAAGCCGACCCATAGCCAAAGGAACATCAATCAGACCCCCATACGTTAATTGCCCGAGACCGACCAACATACGTACATCTCCACAGGAGCTCCAATTAATCATCTCAGCCCCGGTCGACTTGACTCATACGAGCCGAGCCACCGTGGTCGCACCCAACCCCACCCACTCACCTCCAAGAAGCTACCCACCTCGAACCAGACACACAGCGGACGACTTCCCACCGATGACCAGGCAGAGCCGAAGCCGACCAACAGCCAACCACCAGTGACTCTACACGGCAAACCAGAAGGCGGGACCACCGGCGTGCTAGGGACAGTGAGACCTACCGACGGCGGAGGAGAAGCGCCACCGGTGCAGAAGCATGGGAAAGCGAGGAGTAGGAGCAAGATGACGAGGCTATAGGCCATCTGCCGGCTCAAGGGCCGGCTAATCGCCGGGAAAGGCACAAATTAGGGGCAAATTTGGCGGAAGACGATGGAGAAGATAGGGTTCGGAGGAATTGGGCGAAAAGGGGATCAATTTGTGATGTTTTATAATTCTATAATTAGTTGGTTGAAAAATAAATAAATTATTCTTATATTAAAATTATTTATGTAGTTTTAAAGGGTTTGTTATTCCATTAAACCATTTAGCAATTAAAAAAAGTTGCTTATGTGATAAAAATAAAATGATAATATTAATTTTAAATTTTTTAAAAGGAAAAACTGAAGAAAAAAATTTACTATAACTTTTTTATAAGCGTATAATTTACATAAATTTTAGTGTAAATATATAATTGCTTTTACTTACCGAGTACCGAATCCTAAACCTAACCCTTCCCGGCAACGACGCCAAATTTGTTGTGTACAAATTGTTTTTATTTACCGAGTATCGAATCAAATGATTTGTTTCCCGGGTCGATCTCACGAGGAAGGTTAGCCGGATTACTTTGCACGATTATTCAACCACAAAAAGAGAAATAAAATTCCTAAACATTCTAATTCTAATTCCAAGATGGAGTTTGATTTTTAATTAACAACGACGAAGATTAAAAAAGCAATTTCAGAAAGCAAAGTAAAGACAATTACTCAACGAGAATAAGGTAGCTAGGGAGTCGGAGATAATAATCTTTGTTTGATATGCAACTATCGGGCAAGTGATCGTTCGGTTAAATGATTTGAATAACATACTCGCTCAGATACTTATCCCCAATAACTTTTCGTAACAAGAGACCAAACTTGAACGGCAAATTAACAAGTCATTTAACACATAGACAATACAGTTACGAACAAGCCTATCTTATACCAGTCTATTTCGATCGACTCCTCCCCTTTCGGTTCTAAGAGTCGATTAAATTAGACTAGAGGGTGATTAACCGACTAATCAATTAGAATACCCAACATCATGCAAGAATAAATCAAACTCAATTGAAAATCAATTGGAAGTTGAAGTGTCACCCTTCAACAATCCTCAATATTCAAGTACGATAATTGAAAAACCCTTTTAAAAGATCAATTCGCATAAGAAGAACGATCAACGAACACGACAACCACAATCGAAATCAAAACATTAATCCCCTATCCCTAGCATATGGATTTAGACAATCATAATCGATTCAACATCAACAATCTCAACAATCAAGACAAATATATTCATAGGTTAAATGAAAAGAAAATCTTACGGATGATGAAATCCCAAAGTTGAATCCGATAAACAAGCTTAATCCGAAAGCAATAGTGAAATCCAAGATCAATTTTATGTTCAATGGAGAGAAATATGAAGGAAAGAAAGAAAAACGAGTAAAAGAGATGAGCTTAGGGTTTTCTGTTCGTGGAATGAGATATATATTTTTCTGATTGGTCCCGTGCATATATATATAGGGGGAAAGGGTCACGGCGTGGAGATGTTGTGGCGCCGCGCGAGCAGCACGGTTGTCACGGCATGGAGGAGTGGCGCGGGCGCGGAGGGATATGGGTGTTGCGGGCGTGGCACTCTGCCGCGGCGTGGAGGTTGCTTGGGCTGCGTCTCTGTTTGCCTGTGACTGGTGCCGCACGTTGTAGTACGGCGTGGATCCATGGTAATGCCGCGGCGCGGAGAGAGCATGTCTGGGCATGGCGTCTGTTTGTCCCATTTTTGTTGCTATTTTTGTTGGTGTTTTGCGTGTGTTTTTCCTCCGTTTTAGGTTGTTTCTTAGGTGTTACCGGTACGTCTAGTCGTTTCTCGTTTTTATCTTTATTTCACTATGTTTAGTATTTTCTTTGCTTTCTCCCTATTTTTCTTGATTTTTTCGTGTTTTTCCAGTTTTGGTGGTTTTAGGTCGTTCCGATTCCTAGGTGTTTCATCCCAGTTCATGTGACCAAACATGCAGAGATCGAGTTTCCAGCTCGGGCAGTACCCGAGCAACGCTAGCCGAGCACGCGAGCCAAAGAAAAAGCAACATTTGGACTGCCAGAGCCTTAGCGCCGCTAAGGCACCTTAGCACCTTTAAGATCAGCCAGGCTAGCGGCGCTATCTTCCTTAGCGGCTTCAGACTCGATCAGTTAAGATGCCTTAGCGGTGCTAAGGCACCTTAGCGCCGCTAAGGTCTGTTTTACAACAGGCGCGATTTTCATGGGTTTTGAATTGGGGAAGCTATGAGTTCGAACCTAGGGCATATGTTAGAGTATTCTCAGACTTTGTACTTCGTTTTTTCACTCCCAAAAACATATTTTCACTTGATTTTGCTTAGATTTGATCTTGGATAGTGAAAACTCCAAGATTTTACCTTTGGATTTGGATTGCTCGTTGTTTTTCGACATTGGATTCATTATTAATCGTAAGCACTTCTTTTCATTTTGTGTATGAATATGATGGCTTGTTTGATTGAGAATTACTGTGTTGAAATTGCAGTGAGTGGCTAGATTCGATAACTAGGGTTAGAGGATAATTGTTCCGGTTTGTTTTGGTTTACGTGTATGTTGATTGCTCTGTCTTTGCGAGTTGTGCTAATTTAGGGTTAGATGATTGATCACCATCTTAATCTATTTAATCAATTTTAGAACCGAAAGGGGAGAAATCGATCGATCTTGGCTCCTTTAGAATAGACTTGTTCGGAAACGTATTGTCTATGTGTTAATTGATTCGATGTTTGTTCGTTTATGTTTATTCTCTTGTTACGTAAGTTATTGAGAATGAACCTCTTGATGAATTAGTGTTTCGAATTCTTTATCTGAGTAAATGATTGCTCACTAAATGTGTGTAGAACCGGAAACGATTGTCCCCGACACACTAGTCTCTTTATTGCTATTTGAATTGTGTTTGAGTTGTGAGATTTGAATTACTTGTTAAGAATCGTTAGTTGCTAGTTGAAACCAAAAACCGAATTAGAGAGTTTAGAACGTGTTTTCTCTCTTCGTGTGACTGAATATCCGTACAAATTAATCCGGCCAACCCTCCTTGAGATACGACCCGATGTTCAAATCTTTCGATTCTACTCCGGTAAAAATAACTACAACAAAATGGCGCCGTTG